TCATATTTGTAACAGAAGAGCTCTATATATCTAGCTTTCCCTTTTTTTTTGAGTACGTCTTCGCTTATCTCTGGATAAGTTGTTTTCATTATGTAATTTAATTTTGAAATGTGTTTCATGTAAGAAAAAGATCGAAATTAATTAAAATATAGAAACAAAAGTTTGAACTCATATAAACATCAAAGATGGGTTTGGTTCTGTTCGAAGGTTTCTTCTAACTCGGTGCTGTTCGATTTCGGAAAAACGCTTAACAATTTCTCTTTGCTTTATAATACGTATTCAAATTTCTGATCTTACTATAGCTATTATACATACAAATAACCTGAGCGCTATTTTCTTTCCCTTTTAATATTTTCAGGAACTATCTTACTTCTCATGTCTGTCGTAAAAAAACAATATTTTATTCCTAAATGGTGATGACAATTTCATATTGAAGATTCGTTTGAATTCTTACGATCAGAATAGGCGTCAAAACAATTAAGTTAGAAGTAGTGAAACTCTTGAAGATACTTTTTTCATACACAAACCTATATAAATACTCTTTTAACAGCATATAAGTAACAGAGGTTCTTGGTAGTTTCTCTTCATTTGACAAAACTTGCCGTTTACAGAGAAAAAAACATAGAAGGAAGAAATACGAAGTAGAATGTCTCGTAGGATGTACTTTTCTTTTCATAGCATTCTATGCGAGGTTGAAAGAATATTAAGTCTTTTCGATTCCGGAAAAACACGAGTCGATCCCATCTCTGATAAACATAGCGGAAGATTCGACATGAACAGTCAATAGTTCTAAACCGAGTCTGACAACTTTATTTTCATTTAAAAACCTTTCTCTTCAAATAAGACAGATTCTTTAGTTTATTAGTTGATTGATAACTTTTCATTAGCAAAAAATAAATATATTGTTCTTAAGCATAACATTTATTTAGGTAGAAGAAAAAGAGAAAAACATACGTCAATTGTTCTTTGCATTGTTATTATTATGCGGAGTCCATGTTGTCTGACGTCAAATCATTCTTTTTTTTTTCTTTCAAAGTAACGACAAACATCAGTTTTTACTTTACAATAAGAACGAAACTTGGTCGACAACATAACAAGCACAAAAAACAAACGTTATTAATAAAAAAAAGTCTTTTATTATTAAAAACCTACATATGACAAAGCAAAACATTGCTAAAGTTATATGAAAAAAACTACCATTGAATGAGACATTCTTCTCTTATTTAGTCAAAAACTCTTCGTACCAGTTTGTGATGGGATGCAATCAATCAACAGCTACTGCAATAGTATCACCAACTCCACCTGTCGAACCAGCAAAAATCAAAGAAGAAACTGAAAATTCTCCAAGAAAAGATGATACATATTTAATGTATTGTCAATTATTCAAAGAACTTTTATCTGAAATGAACGAAAATGATCGATCAAAAGTTATTTCTTATTGTTCTGATCTTTATACAGAAGAAAATATTTCTGATTTAATTCCAACAAATCCCGAATTAATTAATCTTACTGATTATATGAGAGAGAAAATAAAAGATGAAAATCCATTATTTGCTATGGGTCGTCTTATGTTAGAAATGGGTTCATATGATCGAGCAGAATATTTTTATTTAAAAGCTTTACCTAGAGAAAAACAAAATTGGATTCGTCAATCTGCTCTATTGAATAATTTAGGTAAAACTTATCAAGAACAAGAAAAATATGAACAAGCACTTGAATATTATGAAAAAGCCGTTACAGCAGCAGCCACGACCGGTTTCGACCTTGCTGAAGGGTCTCATCAGGTGGCATAATTTAATTCATCATAACCCTAAGGGTTACGACAAAAACCGAATGTTCAACTCCTAGTTGCAGAACTAGAAGAGACCCTTCAGCAAGGTCGAAACCGGTCGTGGCTGCTTCAACTAATTCCTCGATACCCTACCACATGCATATCCTTGTCAAGGTTCAATGAACGATAGTCGCAAAGAGCCAATGGTATGTTCATTATGGGATTGGGTCCTAATGGTCGCCAGATATTGATCATTTGAAAGCGATTATGCATAGCTTTATAGCCTCTTCCTCGCCGAGTAGTTCTTCCATTTTCCGGCGAACTCCAGATAGATCACTGTCCACGCACAGTGGGGAGCCAGGCGGACATCATTTTTTTTGTTTGTATTTTACTTTTATAAGCACCATGTTGACCGAACAATCCGATCAATATCTCATCTGGTAGAGCTTTTCATGCGCTACAAAACCTGCTAGTTACTTTTTTTTGAAAAGCATTCACTCAATGACTCTACTCAAAAACTCTTAAAATTTCCGTGTCCGCCTGCTTATGCGAAAGCTTCCCACTGTGCCACGTGCGCTCCAAGACCGGGATTTTTGTGAGTCAAATCGCACTCATCTGCAGTAAGCGGTGATCCTCGGAAATGGAATATATGGTTGAAGATAACCGCACTGGAGGCACCTAGACGCTTTTTAAGCAGAGCAACAATGTCTTCATAGTAAGATCTCTGCATCTCGCTGCCATCGTCGAATTCATTATGTATGTGACCGTCATATTTGAGCACTTCAAAGCCATGCGTATCGAGATCGACGCTACTTTCCTTGTCTCGCAAATCATGAATGGTAACTCGACCCGGTGTCGTCACGAAATTCTTGGTGCCTGTGACCAATGTGGGGGTAAAATCCATCCATGGAGACGAGCCATCTTGAGGGGGAATCAAAAACATTGATTTCTTGAATGATGTCGCCGGCCATCAGTAACTCGAGACAATTTAGACAAGCAGAATAAGTGCGTGCAGCGAAGGAGATAATGAAAGAAAAGCGAATCGTTTGCTCCTTATCTTACCTAAAGCAGAATACTGTTAGACATGCTATAAAGAGAAACACGAAATAAGTAGTACCGAGTTCCGCAGTTGACTGTCGATAATTGGCGAAAATTGTATTTTTATGGAATTTTCGCAGTTAACAAAACTGGACTATTGACAATTGTCGAAAGTTCAGTCTTGCTGAGGACGAAAGCCCAATAAAACACAACGTTTAAAAATCAACGAAAGTGTGAATTATGTTGTAAAGGATGGGGGCGCATAAGAAGCCAAATCGGCCCATTATGTTTTTTATGGCCAGACACGACAAATTACATAGCAATCGATAGAATTCGACAAAACTAACATTTTTATGCGAGGCTCATTGAGTTTCGATGGAATCCAGACGACCTGGATCGTCCACAAAGTGACCCTATTTTTGTCATTTTTGGTACATAATCTTATGTAATCATCTAACCGATTTCTATCGATTTTTGAAGCCAATACACAAGAAAAGGTAGTCTTTTTATGGTCGATCTGATAGCTCTTCGATGGGGCTTCAGTTTTAGATCTAAATCATCCATTGAATGTTCCGTTTAACCTTCGTTTAATGAACTACCATAATAGACACTATAAGCATATATGATGTAATCTATCACCTAGTTACACTTTGCCGGCATTATTTTAATAGAAAAATTAAAGAAACCGAAATTCTCCTAGACCACATTTGATAGCCCTTTTCAAAAGCTACAATTTCGTTATATTTTCAATTTAAAAAAAATATGGCCACTTGAAAATTTTGGAGCACACTCTTCTCGAGGCACGATTTTGGATATTTTTTATCAATATTTCGAAGACTTCGATCAGAAAAACTTTAATTTGAGTCCAAACTAATATGATATTCGGAATCAGCATAAAAAACTGAGTTAGCCTATGTACAAGTTAACGATTTTTTTGACCTTTTTTCGTCGAAAAATTTACTCCTACTCCCCCTCAGGGATCAGCCGAAAAATCAATTCTGTCAAGACGGTGCATTTATTGACTAGATATTTGCTATTTTGTCACCTCATAACTTTAAACAACTTTCAAAGCTTTTTTATGATCTCCCAATGCCGTTTTGACAGAATTCATTTTTCAGCTGATCCCTGAGGCGGACTAAGGGTAAATTTTTCCATGAAAAGAAAACCTCGAGATGATCGTTAACTTGTACCCCCTATTATGATATGGAAGAGGTGATACTACTTCAGGATTTTCCAGAAACATTTTGTTTCAATGTGTAAAGAAAAAAATAAATGCAGTATCTCATCTGTAAATTTGTAAATTTATAAGTAATGTAA